TCTATCTATCTATCTATCTATCTATCTATCTATCTATCTATCCATCCATTTATCTATTCACCTATCCATTTATCTATTCATGTACTTTCTTACTTACATACCTTTCTTATCTATCTATCTATCTATCTATCTATCTATCTATCTATCTATCTATCTCTATCTATCTATCTATCTATCTATCATAGTTATGGCTGGATGGTCATCTGTTAGGAGGGCTTTGATGGTGCCTACATCTGTCTGTCTGTCTGTCTATCCATCCATCCATCCATCCATCCATCCATCCATCCATCCATCCATCTATCTATCTATCTATCCATCCATCATCCATCCATATCCATCTATCTATCTATCTATCTATCTATCTATCTATCTATCTATCTATCTTCCTATCTATCTATCTATCTATCTATCCATCCATCCATCCATCCATGTGTTGGGAGGGATAGTACAGTCTATCTACGGCTGGCTGGCCACCTGCTGGGAGGGATCGGATGGTGCTTTGAACCCTGGAAAGTTTAATGACGCTTTCCCCAATGTGTTTTCTTCTTTCCCGCCAGGCCGGTTGAGGATGTGCCTGGTGGTGGCCCTGTGTCTGTGCGTGGTGCTGGGTGCGGGGGGCTGCCGTGCCTACGGCTTCCGCAACTGCATCCAGGACATGTTGGACCCGGGCTACTTCAAGTGCATGCAGCGCTTCCTGGCGGAGGTCTCCTCGGCCACGGCGGACCTGCCGGCCAACGCCACCGCCCTCAACGCCTCCCTCAATGCCATCCACCACCTGCCGCCCGGGACCTTCGCCCGCCTGCCGGCCCTCAGGGAGCTCTCCCTGACCCACAACGGCCTGCGGGACGTGGCCGAAGGCGCCTTCGAGGGGCTGCCCGCCCTGCGCAGCCTCAACCTCTCCTGCAACGCCCTCCAAGGTCTCTCCGCCGGGGCCTTCCACGGCCTCCACAACCTCAGCCTCCTCCTCTTGGTGAGTCCCCACTATCACTCCCTTTGCCATATTGACTCGAATGCAATGCTCACTTTGGGGGGGGGGGGTAAATTACCTTCCCAAAATTAGGGTGCACATTAGATTCGCATCATACAAAGGGGGGAGAAGAGGTCAAACCACTTAATTTAAGCCCATCCACGCTCCCATAACATCATGCCGAACACACCTGGACTTCAGGGTCTTCTCATAGATTCTGTCCCGTTGCCAGGGCTCTGCCTTATTCAGGTAGAGATGAACCAAACTCACAGTTTGCTTTAAACAATTGAATTAAAACAGCACTTACTTTCTGGCTGTTTTAATAGTCCAAAATATAAAACATAGAGATTGCACTCAACCACAGAATATAAAACAAAAACAGCAAACACTCTTGCAGGTTCAAGAGAACTCCGTAGTCAAAAGGTCCGGTCAAACGCCAAGAGTTCAATAAACAAAGTCCAGGGATCAAGAGTCTATACCTAAGATACCTAACTGACCGCCTCTCGGCCTATGAGCCCACGAGGACTTTGAGATCTTCCGGGGAGGCCCTGCTCTCGATCCCGCCTGCGTCACAGGCACGGCTGGCAGGGACGAGAGATAGGGCCTTCTCGGTGGTGGCTCCTCGGCTGTGGAACACCCTTCCCGTGGACATCAGGCTAGCCCCCTCCCTGTTGATATTCCGCAGGAAGTTAAAGACCTGGCTGTTTAAGAAGGCATTTGATCAAGAAGTGCAATGACTGGTAATTTGACCATAGGAATGGAACAACGGAAATGATACCGGATTGTGGATTTGACGATGAGACGACACGGAATGGCTTTTGTAGTAATGTTGATGTTTTTGATGAGGATGTTTTTGATAATGATGAATTGTGGATTATTTTTACACTATGTCTTGTATTTTGCCCCTGTTTTTCTATGTTGTACACCGCAATGAGTCGCCCCTGGGCTGAGAATTGCGGTATATAAGCCAAGTAAATAAATAAATAAATAAATAAATAAATAAATAAATATACCAGGGGTCCTCAAACTTTTAAAACAGGGGGCCAGGTCACAGTCCCTCAAACTGTTGGAGGGCCAGATTATAATTTGGAAAAATGAATGAATTCCTATGTACACTGGACATATCTTATTTCTAGTGCAAAAACATTTTAAAATAATACAATAATTAAAATGAAGAACAATCTTAACAAATATAAACTTATTAGTATTTCAATTGGAAGTGCGGGCCTGCTTTTGGCTGATGAGATAGAATTGTTGTTGTTGTGCTTTCAAGTTGTTTCAGACTTAGGTTGATCCTGAGTAAGGGCCGGGTAAATGACCTTGGAGGGCCGTATCCGACCCCCGGGTTTTAGTTTGAGGACCCTTGGTCTATACCGTAGTCAGAAGGCAGCCCAGAGATTCAAGATTCCAGGATTCCAAAGGTCCAGGGGACAGATCAGGACACCAAAAATCCACAAACCTGGGGGGAAACCAGCAGCATCTACCACCAAGATAAGACAAATACTTTCCTCCCAAGATCAGTCCCAAGGCTAGCTCCTTATATCCAGAAACACCCAGCTGCAACCTATCTCTTGCATACCTCCACCCTTAATTACTTTCACCCATGAACACTTACTTACAGATTTCTCAACCCTTTAGAACAGTGGTTCTCAACCTGGGGTCCCCAGATGTTTTTGGCCTTCAACTCCCAGAAATCCTAACAGCTGGTAAACTGGCTGGGATTTCTGGGAGTTGTAGGCCAAAACACCTGGGGACCCACAGGTTGAGAACCACTGCTTTAGAACTAAGACTTACATTAACCCTTCCATCACGAATTGATAGGCCTACCACCACCAGCCACCATCAACTACAGAACATGATACATGACATTTACTCCCTCCAGTCTCAGGCCTAATCTAGTTTCCTGGGAAAACTCCCCATCTGCCCAAGACTTTCACTTTCTCCTGTTGCTTGGGAACCAGCACTGGAATCCCAAACACTGGCCTCTTCTGCCTCGGCCCCATCTCCCTGCAATTCTCTCTGATCACACATAAACTCCTTATTTTGAAACCCAACATCTCCCTCATCCTCTGACAAATTCTCAGATGCTTGTTGTGCTACAACAGACATCATCTCTTATTTAATTGCATTGGCTCAATGAGGAGCTCCAGATGCTCCTGAAGCATCTTCCGCTTTGGCTTTGGCTCTACACTAAGATCATCGTACGATGCAGATCTAATGCGCACCCTAATTTTGGGAGGGTAATTTAGCTCAAAAAAAGTGGGTATTGAATTTGAGTAATTGGGAAAGGAAAGGTGCCACAGTGGAGAAGAAAAACTTCAGGTGCATCTATGCTGGAGAATGAATGCACTTTAATAGCCTTGGTTCAATGCTATGGGGCCATGGGGGACGTAGATTGGGATCACCAAACTACAAACAACAACTATTTTACATCAGGGTCTGCTATCGGTACATGTGAAGATATACTCACAGTAATCAATACAGCTCATAGTGAGATATCATCATAGTGAGAGATCCACAAATGTCTGCCACTTATTTTTATATTCATAGGGACAACAGGAAATGATACCATGATACATGCCTGTCTCATGGTCAAGAACTCAACTGTCCCTCTCAATCCACATCTCCACTTGCTTAATCCTTCAGCGGAATGTGCTGTGACCACATGTCTGTTAGAACTGTATTGTTCACACAGTAATGCACAATGGAATTTATAGACCCTTAGCAATGTTGTCTCATCTGAGAGGCTTGAAGTCAAACCACTTAATTTAAGCCCATTCACACACCCATGACATCATGCCGAACAGACCTGGACTTCAAGGACTAACACAGCTGTACCTACCTAACAGCCTGACCTAGTGTCATCTTTCAATTGCCTATCGAAAGCTCCTACTGTCCCTATGCTGCTGATCCCAATCTTTCCTTTTTCCAACTTCTTAAACTTAATTTCTAATTAAAATATCTCATTCTCTACAGCACAACAACCACTTGCACACCCTCCACCCGGATACCTTTGCTCCGCTGCAGAAACTTCTGGAACTGGAGCTGCAATTTAACAACTTGGGGAGCTTTGAGGATGTTGCCGAAAGCTTTTGGATGCTGCCGAGGCTGGAGCGCCTGAACCTCTGCAATAATAACCTGATCTCGCTTCGGTCAAAACGGAGCCTCCCAGCTTCCTTGACGGTGCTCTCTATTTGCAACAATTCCTTATACGGAGTGGATGGTTCTGGGCAACGCTTCCTGCAGAACATCAAATGGCTGGACCTCTCTTACAACAAAATCTCAGATGTTTCTACATTCGCCAAAGTTGTGCTCCGGAATCTCACCAGCTTGCAGCTGGCGGGGAACAACGTCAGTGTTTTCCAGGTCCTCAATGTTTCTGACATACAGACACACAGCTTCGACTATTCCGGCTTGCACCTGAACAGATATTCGCAGCTCGTTGACTTGTGCCACCTCCTTGGGAAGTCCATGCGCCCCATGTACAGCCTTCGCCTCCAGAGCAACCACATCAGGAATGTGAGCCGCAACGCCTTCTCCGCCTGCCCTCCCATCCTGCTGTTGGACCTTTCCCGGAACCGGCTCAAGTCGGTGAACTGCGTGCGCGAGATGCTGAATGCGAGCGCTCAGAGCCAGTTGAAGTCCCTGGTCGTGGAGCACAACCTGCTGAACAGACTGCGCTCCTGCTCCCAAGGCGACAACCTGAAGGAGCTGCGGTTCATCTCGTTCCGTTTCAACCGCATCCTCTCTGTCGGAGGCTGGGCGTTCCGCTACGCCCCCAACTTGGACCGGCTGCACCTCAACATCAACAACGTGGCCTACCTCGACCGGCGGGCCTTGTGGGGCCTGCGGGCGCTGACCGAGCTGCGCCTGGACAACAACCTCCTGACTGACATCTACAAGGACACCTTCCGTGACCTGGGTAATCTCCAGACGCTCAACATGCGCAACAATCACGTCTCGGTGCTCTTTCCCGGCGTCCTCGCCAACCTCGGGAAGCTCCGCATCTTGGACCTGGGAGGGAACAACATCCGCCAGCTGACCAATGCTTCCTTTGAAGGGCTGCGGAACCTCTCCAACCTCTACCTGGACAGCAACCACATTGAGAGGATCAGCCATGACTTGTTCTCCCCGGTGCAAGACACGCTCCAAGTGCTGGACTTGAAGGGCAACAAGATCTACTACATTAGCATGAAGCCAGATGGGCCGCCTCCATTTGTGAACCTGCACAAGGTCTACGACCTCAAGCTCCAGGCCCAGCAGCCCTACGGCTTGACGATCATCCAGCCCAGGTTCTTCCAGGGCCTGACTTCCTTGCGTGACCTCTACCTCTCAGAGAACAAGCTCCTATATGTTGCACCAAATGCCTTTGATGACCTCAGGCGGCTGCGCTACCTGATGATGGCGGACAGCAGCAACGGCATGGGCGACCTCCCGCCCGGCATCTTCAAGAACCTCCACGAGCTGGTCTGGCTCGACCTGGAGAACGCCGGCATCCGCACGCTGACTCTGGATGTCTTCGGCAACCTGACCAAGCTGCGCAACCTCGTGCTGGTGAAGAACGAGCTTCGGACCGTCAACAGCAGCGTGATGGAGCGGCTGGCCAGGCTGCGGTACCTCGACCTGCGCAAGTGCCCCTTGTCCTGCACCTGTGACAACGTCTGGTTCCAGGGGTGGCTCAACAACAGCCAGGTCCAGGTAGTGTACATGTACAACTATTCCTGCCACTCAGGCGAGCGCAGCTTTGTCTACAGCTTTGACACCCACGTGTGCTACGAGGACGTGGGCCTCTATCTCTTCGCCTGCACCTTCCCGGCCCTCCTGTTCCAGATGCTGCTTCCAATCTTCTACCACCGGACCTACTGGCAGCTCAAGTACCGCTTCTACGTTGTGCGAGCGTGGCTGAGCGACCGCTGGCGGCGCGGGAAGGCAGAGACATGCCGCTTTGATGCCTTCGTCTCCTACAACTCCTGCGACGAGCGCTGGGTGCTGGAGCAGCTGGTGCCCAATCTGGAGGCCGGCGGGAACCCCGCCTTCCGGCTCTGTCTCCACCACCGGGACTTCCAGCCGGGGAAGTACATCATCGACAACATCGTGGAGAGCATCCACAACAGCCGGCACACCATCTGCGTCATCAGCCGGAGCTACCTGCGGAGCGAGTGGTGCTCCATGGAGATCCAGCTGGCCAGCTACCGGCTCTTCGACGAGCTCAAGGACGTCCTGGTGCCCGTCTTCCTGGAGGAGATCCCCGAGAGGGAGCTCTCCGCTTACTACCGCATGCGGAAGGTGATGCTCAAGAAGACCTACGTCACCTGGCCCCTGGAGACCCAGGCCCAGAAGCTGTTCTGGGCTAAGCTGAGGATGGCACTGGCGGCGGGGACAACGGATGAGGTGGAAGGGGAAGAAGGGATGGCAGCATACTGCTTGGAGAAGAACAACAAGCCCATTCTGGAATCTGTCAACAATATGGCATCATAGCAGGGAGGTCATCGACACTGGGACCCACCATATCACACACTTAGTCTGTTTGCACTACCACTATCACATCGTTATTATCCCACTCTGGGGTGTTTTGTGGTTTTCTGGGTTGTGGTTTTCTCAGAGGATTTTCTCCCTGACGTTTTGCCTGAATCATAGAATCATAATCAGTTGGAAGAGACCTCATGGGCCATCATGCAGTCCAACCCCATTCTGCCAAGAAGCAGGAATATTGCATTCAAATCACCCCTGACAGATGGCCATCCAGCCTCTGTTTAAAAGCTTCCAAAGAAGGAGCCTCCACCACACTCTGGGGCAGAGAGTCCCACTGCTGAACGGCTCTCACAGTCAGGAAGTTCTTCCTCATGTTCAGATGGAATCTCCTCTCTTGTAGTTTGAAGCCATGGCTCCATTGCATCCTAATCTCCAAGGAAGCAGAAAGGAAGCTTGCTCCCTCCTCCCTGTGGCTTCTTCTCACATATTTATACATGGCTATCATATCCCCTCTGTATGAACACGCCATACAGCTCGGAAAACCGCACAACACTCTCATGATCCCGGCTGTGAAAGCCTTCAAGAGTACATTACTCTGCTTTCATTGACACAGAGGTATTCTGTCGAATCCTGAGCAAGGAATTTTCCCAGATGGCCTGAAAGAAGCAGTGGTCCACCCTCTCTTGAAAAAACCAAGCCTAGACGCCGCCATACCCAGTAACTATCGCCCCAGTTTCAAACCTTCCGTTTTTAGGCACGGTGCTGTAGCGGGGCAGCTACAGCCATTCTTAGATGAGACTGCAGGTTTGGACCCCTTTCAATCAGGCTTTCGTTCAGGTCATGGGACAGAGACTGTCTTGGTAGCTATTACTGACAAAATTCGTCGTCAGTTAGACCGAGGCGGATCAGCGCTATTGGTACTCTTGGACCTCACAGCTGCATTCGACACCGTGGACCATGACTTGCTGATTCATCGATTGGCTCTGTCTGGTGTACGAGGTTTAGCCCTGAAATGGTTCAATTCGTTCCTCCGGGACCGGAGACAGAGGGTGGAGTGGTCAGGCCAAAGCATCCAAAATGTGGGGGAAACCTTTTTTCCAATCAAACTCTTGCTTGCATGGAAGGAAGACATAAGCTCACCTGTAACATTCACAGACCTAAACTGAATCTTCTTTCCTTAGGAGCGAGACAAGCACCACAGCTTTGATGTCTGTTGCCACTGTGACTGTACATTTCTTCAAATCCCAGTTTTCTTCAAAACAGCCACACAGAGCACACTCTACAATAAATAGAAGTGAGTTGGATGCAGTGTCTACATTTGTTTTAAAAGTTCCACAGGTGGCATAAATTTTTCAGAGCGGGTGAGCGACAGCTCTTCACTGGGGGATCAAAGCGAGATGCAACTGATACCCTTAAAAGAAATTCATGGGCAAAAAAACATTAAAGTTCCACATTACAAGATTATAAATGAAGCAAAGAAAGG